TGAATAACTGTTTACTGGTATCGTGAATAACCATAAACTTGCTAACTGAAAGATTGTATAACTGGTCACTGAGGTAAACTGATAACCATAAGACATGATAACTTCTTTTGTACTTTCTGATAAGGTTATGCTCTAATCTGTACTACTATCCATTACATCCCACATTTAACATCCCTCAAGTCTCGTATTTACCAAGTTGTACTCCATAATTATACCCCAATGGGCAAATATCCTCTCTAGAACCATATTTCATCTTTATCTTTTAGATGTTGTTGGACTTATCTTCAAACCATCTTTGATTTCTCTCTTCCCAGACTGTCCACCATTTACAAGCTGGGACAATTCTCCATCTCTCTTTATCTCTCTAAAGTGTGCCCTCTTTATTCCATCTAGCTAGAATATCAAGGATTCTTCCCGGCATTGCCCATGGAATTCCCCTTAGACGGATGAAAATCCTCCATATCTGTATAGTGAAATTGCAATGCAGAAAAAGATGGCTAATTGTCACTGCCTTCTCGCGACATAGGTAATTCCTAGAACCCAGCTGGAATCCTCTTTTTGTTAGGTTGTCTTGTGTTAAAACTGCTTCTTTAGCTAATAACCAAGTAAAGCAAGCAACCTTGTATGGAAATTTTACTTTCCATTCATCTTCCATGGCCAACATCCAATCTGATTGTTGGCTAGGTTGTATTCCTTGTAGGCACTCTTTACTGAATACTTCCCCTGTTCATTCCCTTGCCATATGATAAGATCTTGGCTAGCTGCTTCTTTGTCCTCTTTAATATAAGTTTCCAACAAAGTCTACCCTAGAGGGCCCTGATATGGTTCCATAGACCAACTTCATGAGAGAGGGACTGCATAATGTTCCCCTCCATATTTTTCCTTAGTTACATGTTTCAATAAAGCTTTATCATTCTTACAATATTTCCATGACCATTTGAAGAGAAGGCTTTTATTGTGCACTCAGAGATTTCTTTTTGATAAGAAGTTACCCACAAATTTCTATCCTCTAATTCCCCCTCTTTGTTTTATTTTTTTTGGGTTGTAAAACAGTTCAATTAACATGAAAAAGTTTTCTTCTCTTTATTCCTCTCATAGGAAATCTATTCTTATCCTCTCCTGCCTCCTTTCCACACTTCTAGGAATAGGAAATAAAGACATAGTGTACGTGGAGAGTGTGAGTTCAATATGCTGTTAATTAGAACTAGTGTGTCACCCATTGAAAGCTTTTATAGTCAAGAGCTAAGTTGCGCGCACTCTTCGATTTTGGTGCCGTCCCCGTCCCGATACGAGACGGGGACGGGAGCGGGGTACGTCCCGGATTCGGTCAACTGACTTCGGACACTTTGACCAGAGTCCATAGACAAATTTGGGAGAAAAATTGAGATTTTAATTTCTCAAAATAAAAAAATAGAATAGATTTAAGAGAATGAATGAATAATGTCCATCTTGGAGAATGAAAGATTGAATTCTACAATATTCATGTAAGTTTTTCACAGAATATCTTTCAAAATTTACAATATTTTTATAGCTCTATTTTCATTAGCCGAATCCCCGCACCCGTATCCATATCTGGATCCGCACCCCCGAATCTTAAAGTTTAGATTTTGCCGAATCCGATACTCGGATCTGTCCCCATATCGGATACCTGCACCCGAGTCCGAGCAACTTAGGTCAAGAGTGCCAGACGACATTTGCTCACACTTATCCAGTATCTCTTGCCATATCTCTGTTAATTTGTACTTCATTTCCAAAGGAAGACCTAGGTTATGCATTTAATTCCAAATTTCCCGAAAAATCTTTTTAAGGGTTTAAGAGGCCCTAAGATTTCCTATAAATAGTGTTTTGGTCAAGTAATAGTTAACATTGAATCAGTGAGCTTTTGTTGTCAAAGAAGGGGGTCTCACGTGTTTATTAGGAGGAACCTATTTAGTTTTGCTGTACTCGATTTCAGATTTATCTGAGATAGAAGTGATGATAGTACGATAGCGCTCAATTAACAAGAGGTGTAAAAGGTTTATATATCAAGTGATGAATAGTCATGAACGATTCACATGGTACCCACAACAAGGTAAGAGGAAAATCTTACAGCAAAAGATTGAATCTAAGAGCTTAGAGCCTTGAAGCCTCATATGCAAGCCCATTATTGAAGTGTCTCATTATCCAGTTTGCTAAGTATGAAATTCAAAGATTTCTGCAAAAAGTATTAACCAAGTTATCCAACTTATTGTGTGATTCAGTTCTTTTTGTGGTTAGACCTAGATTTTTTTTTTGGAAAAACAATAACAACTGCTATAACACAATTCTAAGCTACTAAGGGCCTGTTATATGATTCCTCACTATCCATTTGGCTCAATTTGGACGTTTTTCATTCCAGTAATTAGTCATTGGTGGTAATTTAATTGTAGGTTCTCTACATTTTTTTGAGAAATAAATCTCCAACCAACTCTTAGCACTTACTGAACTTAATTTGAGCTTACCATCTTGACTAGCTTTGATCACAACTAGTTGGTACCGCCAATATGTTTTTTTTGCTTCCATTATGTTTATCTTTTGCTAAGTCTACATTGATTTTGATGATCATAGGTTTTTAAGACAACTTCCATGTGATTTTAGGTTTATTTATCAACTGTTTATTTTTAAGTTGCTGCTCAAGTTTTAGATTCTTTTTAAGTATTTTGCCTTGTATTAGTAGGAGCACGGTCAATGCCTTTTCTGTTTCATATGGTTTTGCAATAAATTATACTAGTTCCGTTGCTTTTTGAAGTAACATTTGTAGTAGTAGTAGTTGTAGAAAGCAAGCGTGACATTTATTTTTTATAAGAGTCGAACATGGTGGCTTAGTTTCTCCTTTCAAAACAGTTATTGCCGCCAACAAACGTGTGGAGTTGAAAGCAACAGTCTTTTCTGCTATTCCCTCCGTCCCAATTTATTTGACATTTTTCGCTTTTTGAGAGTTAATTTGACTAATTTTCGAAGCTAAATTGGATTAGATCAACTCAATATTTTAAAATTAAAATTTTGGATTTCCAAAACTATACGAAAAGTACTATAAGTTACAATTCTTCTTATGTCAATATGATGAAAATTACATTTTAAAATGTTGGTCAAAGTTCACCTAATTTGAATTTTAATAAGCGCAAAGTGTCAGATAAATTGGGGTGGAGGGAGTATATGATTGTTGGTCAGATATGAAAATGACAGTTTCCTTAAAATGAAAAAGCCAATGATTTTCCCTACATTCACCTATCTTACTACTGGATTTATCTGTTCTGGTGATTCGAGAAAAAAAAAAAAAAAAATTTCCCTACGTTCACCTCTCTTACTCTTGAAATACTTGCTCTGAAAGGAAGTTTCTTCAAGAGAACCAGAAAGGGAATTGCATTGATGATATTGAATGCCCACCTGGTTACCTCTTCTTGAATTGTTCCGCAGTTGACCTTGTTCTAGACCATAGATGTTGGTTCTAGCACTTAGTTATGCGACATCTTCAGGATGATTCCCCTATCTCATTTTCATTTTCACGAGGGTACAATTATATGGAGGATTTGCAAGCTGTTCTCCTTATATTTTAGATATGCATTGCAATCTTTAACTAAGGTTATAGTGATCGTAATTCACGTAGCCATGAATTTTAACTTTGATTAGCCACACTTTGAATATTAACCTGAATAGTATGATGAACATTGGATGAAAAATTGCTTACAATATCATATCATTTATCCTGGGTAGAGTTTATAGATCTTTTTACAATGTGACTTGCATTGTGGAACTGCCGTGGTGCCTATCTTATGCTCTATTTAATTCTGAAACATTAGATCACTATCTGGGAGGAGAGAAAAGTATTTGGTTCTCGAGGGCAGCTTCTGAAGGAAGAGTTTGCTGGGAAGCATGTTGGGAATGGAAAGCATAGTGGAGTCAAAGTGGTAAGTCTCCCTTTTCATCCTGGTCTTTTGTTGTTGAACCTGTTTTTGTTGTTTATTCTTTTTTATATATGTTTGAAGCTGGATAGAACTTTCTCATCACACTCTTTGCGGAGAAACTCAACTGGGGATGCCCTTGACAAAATAGTTTCAAGTTATCAGATGCTGTATGGTGGTCAAATTGATGAAGACGCTATATTGAGCAGATGTAAAAATGCCATTAGCTCTGTTGATAAATTAGATAAGGAGATTGGGGGTGATCTAAATCCAGGTGCGTTTTCTTTACCACTTGTGATGTGTGCCTAACAATGCTTGTCCACTTTCATGTTATGATGGCCCAGAAGAAACTTTTTAATCCTTTCACCAGGGTTTGTCTAGTTGCCAGTCAATTTTATTCCAACTGAACAATACAATTCTGGTTTGGTTTAACGAATAGTGAATTTTCTGGGGCAATTACTTGGACCTCTCTTTAATTCAGCAAAAATAAATAGAGCCTCCGTTGTAGTTAAAAAAAATATCTGACAGTTTTCTGCTTAAATTTTCAAATTGGATGGCTTTTGCTTTTGGCATCCTTCGCCTGAAATTCCCTTTGCCTAACTTACCAAAGTAGAAAGAAGGGGCTTCCTTCTTCAAAGAGAGAGGTAGAGAGAGCGAGAGTGAGGGAGAGAGGAAGAGAGGGAGACAAAGCTCCATTCAATTGTTTTGTTTGCATATCTAGTGTAATACTGAAACTAAATGAAAAGCCAATTCATTCATTTTGCTTCTATATCTGGTTTAATGGTGAAGCTTATGAAAAAGCTCCGGAGAGATAAAAACATTGACATAACCTATCAGAAAAGGAACGGCCAAATACATAGATGGCCCCTAAAACTTGGCCATTTTTTCCATTTAGACACCTTATCTAAAAGAGTGACCTATTGAACACTTCATTTTGATTGAAAATGTGTCAATTAGACACACACTGTTGACATGGCAGTGTGCGTATATTGCACTCCTTGTGAGAGCGTGAAGAAACATAGTAGGAGTAAGTTTTTATTTTTTGTTTTTTTCTTCTTCTCTCTCATCTTTTCTCTTGTCACCGCCATCCTAGCCACCAACGCTGAGACTCGGCCACCATAAGAAACACCAATCAGTCCCCTCTTTCTCTCTAAAACCACCACCCTCCACCTTCAGAGCACTCATATACAAACAACTCCATCACTCCACTTCCGGAGATATTATTTTGGATAACTAGAACAAAAAGGCGAAACAAGAAGCAAATTATGGATTTCTTTCTGCAAATTTCACCCATCTGGAGAAAAAGCTCTTTTAGCGTTGGTTTGTACATCCTTTGTTCAGAGAAAGGGTAAGCAGGAGTTTCTATGGAGTTTTAGATTTTTATAATTATAGACATACTTCAACTTCTTTTAGGCAATCACTAATTAGCGTCCGTGTATTTGATAATAATTTTTAAGGTGTAATTAGATATGTGGGGAAATGGAGAAATAAAATGGTGGGCATGGTGAAATTAAGAAGACGAGAAGGAGTTGCCAGGAAAGTTTTGTCCACAGGTCATTTCATAATTGGCTTCTTTATAGCATTACCGCGTTTGAGACTCACGCACTACCTTTTTGTGAGGAGTTTCCATTTAAGTGTTTAATAGACACATTTTCAATCAACATTAAGTGTTCAATAGGTCACTCCTTTAGATAAGGTGTCTAAATGAAAATAATGGCCAAGTTTAAGGGTCCGGTTATGTATTTGGCCGAAAAGGAACGAGTAGACAAAGCAATTATTCAATTTCTTTATAAGGACTAAGTCTTCTCATGGAGAAAGCTTGTCGAAAAAGGGATCTCTCATCAGAAAAGTAAATATACTTAAATAAATAAAAAAGGTAAAATGTGACTTGAATATCTAATTTGACAGA